AAAATGAGTGAGTCATGTGATATTTATCTTTCTCTGACTGGATTATTTCACTTAGCATAATGCTTTCCAGTTCCATCCATGCTGTTGCAAATGGTAATAACTCCTTTTTTACCGCAGTGTAGTATTCCATTGTTAGATGTACCACAGTTTTTTAATCCACTCATCTACTGATGGGCACTTAGGCTGTTTCCAAATCTTAGCTATGGTAAATTGTGCTGCTATGAACAGAGGGGTGCATATATCCTTTCTGTTTGGTGTTTCTAGTTTCTTGGGATATATTCCTAGAAGTGGGATCACTGGGTCAAATGGGAGTTCCATTTTTAGTTTTTTGAGGAAACTCTATACTGTTCTCCACAGTGGCTGCACCAGTCTGCATTCCCACCAGCAGTGCACGAGGGTTCCTTTTTCTTCACATCCTCACCAGCACTTGTCATTTGTTGATTTGTTGATGATAGCCATTCTGACAGGTGTGAGATTGTACCTCATGGTTGTTTGACTTTTTTATCCATCAGCGTTGATAATTTCTGTCTTTTACTCTTATCTTTGAGGGTGGAGACCACTTTCCTTCTTCTGGTCTTCTATTTGTGAAAGGCAGTGTGGATCTTCTATCCTGCGAAGTTTCCTCTTCCTGGGTTATACTGTAATCAAAAATTAAATTCAGGAAAAATAATGGGAGACCCCAAGCTGGCACCAATACTCCTTAAGGCCTCCATATTGGGTTATAGCCAGTATACATCCAGCTTCTACCTGCCAATTAATTTATCCATTCTTCCAATATTTATTTAGTATCTCCTAAGTTTCAGACATGATTCTAGGTGTTGGAGATACAAAAGTGAACAAACCAATGATCTCTAGCCTCACAGAGCTTACATTCTAGTGGAGAAAGCAATACAATAAACATGAACTGATGTTAGATTGTGATAAGTAATACTAAAAAAATAATAAGGCAGATAAGAGGAACAGGTGGGGATTGCGATCCTGGAATGGGAGAAAAGAGTTCTGGACAAAGCAAAGAGCAAATGCAAACTCCCAAAGGAGGGACCGTCATAGTGTGTGCTTGAGTGGAGAGTGAAGGAGTGAGAGGGAAGTGGGAACAATGTCAAAGGCAAACTATGTCTAGTCTTTTGCCTAGAGTTAACCTCCATGTGTATGAAATACTGACTACTGAGTGGCAACAAGTTATAGTGCAGGAGAAAATTAAGACTAAAAAAAAGAGGAGATAAGTATAATCTAAGATTCAGGGCAACCATATCAAAACCAAGTAAGCCAAGTAGAATGAGTAAAACTGAGACTTCAGGCAAACCATGTTTCTGGACAGAGTTCAAGAGGAGAGCATGTGGTAAATCTGGTAAAGTAGAAGAAATCGGAATAGAATCATTATCAAGTTGTCAGACAACCATGAAATCCAGGAAATTTATAGGAACTAAGGAGCCTGAAGGCTGGTATAGAAACAAGATGACGCATCAGTAACTGAGTCTGATACTGAGGTACTTAATATCCAACCAACCAGAAGAGTCCTTCTCTGCTGTCACCCTGGAGGATGATGATCCAAGAGAGATGATGTGAGTGAAAGGTTCCAGGCCAGGATCACCCAAAATACCTGCCTGCTAGTGATACAGGGACCAGTGGTCATGTTTTCTGGTGGAGACATTCTTTTAGCATATCAAGTGCTCCTTGTCAGAATTCTTCTCTTTGCTCTCATCTTTCTACATACTGCCATCAAGTTTAGCTCTTACTAGTAAGCTCCTTGTTGGTTCTAGTAGGCCCTGAAGTATGGATGTTGTTGTATTGATTTCCTGCTTCATGAAAGAGCAGGAGAGAAGGAAAAGGCATAGGAGTAGAAGTAGAAGGAAGGAGAAATGAAATAGGAAGACAAGTGGAAAAGAGAGAATGGAAATCTGGACAATTTAGGATCATGACTCAGACATTGGGCATCTCCCCTATGACAGGTGGTTATAGAAATCAGAAACTGCCTGGGCTGTGTTCTTGTGTTGAGTTTACTGGAGGGATATTCCTCTCATATCACACTCAACTGTGTGACTTCATGCATAATTGGATGTTACTTGCTCATTTTCCCCCCTTGAGAGAAATTAGTGTCTTAAGTGGGAGATATTTCTCAGCCTGAAAAAAAAAGAGACTTATCAATTTGTATTTTACAAGTTGGCATCTATATAAAAGACAACTGGGAAAATATCGATTAAAAAAAGTATTGCAGAGCGACATTTATTCAAGACTCAAAATATTTCAGGCAATTTATAGAGCAAAGAGATAGATGTAGTCCCTGAAGGCTTAACTTGTGAGCATCAGCATTGACTGAGGAGAGCTAATTTACTGTTTTCCGAAAGGAAATGGGGTGGAGAAGAAGAATTACAGCAAAATGCTTAAACAGAAAGAGAGTCACAACTTTTTATTGAATCATTGTTTGGGATGGTTTTGCAAACTTATCAATCATTTTGTGACATTTTACAGTGTAACAAGATTTTGGTGTTGGGGAAACATCATTTTGAAATTGCCCCAAACTAGATTTCTCTCTCTCCCTCTTCCATCAAACTGACATTGGGTACAAGTTTATGAATCTTGAATGATTGGTCTATCAGCTAAAACTTTTTAATGGCAAATTACAGAAGTAAACTTGACTTTGAAAAAAAGGGGGGGAATCTAGTGTAAAAGAAAGGGAAAGTCTTCGGGAACCTCAGGATAAGAAATGCAGCTGGGCCCTAGGAATATTTCGGAATTTATTCTGGAAGGCCCTCAAATGTCTCTGCTCTCTGGGCCCCCTGTTTATGCACTTTGGTTTATCTTTCTTGATCTAAATTATATCTGTTTTAATACAGACTAGGGCTTTCCCATGGTTTCCAAATTGACATTATAATGTCAACCTCCCAAAGTGACCACAGAGCTGTTTAAATGCCTATTCCATATTCTTGGGAGAGAATATCTGTTTGCTACCCACTGTCCACTGACTTAGGTCAGAAGGCCACCCCTGGTTTCATAATACATAATAAAAACATGGTTTCTAGAGGTCGAGCTCTGTGGATTTGGGGACATGAAGGGAGTGTAGTTTCCAGAAATGAAAAGTTGTTATGGGCTTGGTGAATGTGCCTAATTCGTCTCTCCTACCGTGCCCAGAATGAGAATTCTGCCTAGCACCAAGGATGCTCTCAATAATTATTTGTCATGTGCATGGTTACTAACTGAATGCACTAGTGAGGAAATAAAGAACATGTTTGGTTAGATAAATGAAGATTTTGCATTTTGAACATCATGACAGTAAATCTTTGAGTTGATTGCTCTAACAGTTAACTAAAAACTAAAGTTACATTAGTTAAAATCATTTGATTTCTAGCTGTTTTTCTGTATTTTAAAAATTTTAAAAATCATAAATGTTGTGAAGACATTTGAATAACTTAATAATACACATATTTATTTTAATGGTGTTTATTTCTCTGTTTAAAAAATTATTTGATGCTCATGAAGACTAAACCTGGAGTAATTCGCCCGGTACCCGTAAAATCCAAAATATTGAAAAAAGAGGAGGAAGTCTATGAACCCAACCCTTTCAGTAAATATCTGGAAGATAACAGTGACCTCTTTTCTGAGCAGGTGAGTAAACATATAAGAAGTTCTTTTATATTTTGATAAATGGCTGTATATCATATATAGTTCTATGAATATAGTATGTGCAAGAAAATGTCCATTTAATGGAGTATCCTTAGTAATAAAATAGGTCATTTTTTGCATGATAAAAATAAATTCTTATATATTTTCAATTTCCAGAATGATATTTTGAAGTATTTCAATGTTGTGCTTTTAAAATTTTTTTTCTAATACTGATGATATTATTCTGGGGAACAAGACAGTACTCTCTATAAGGACATCACAAAGTCACTGGTTGGATGTATCAGATAGGTGTTGTATTCTTATTTCTAAAATACTGTTTTCTTTTGAAGAGATGTACTATTTTAGATTTGGTTTATTAGTACATTTGCAAAAGATATATTGTTCTCATATTAACATAGAAATGATGTGATCCCCTAGATTGAGCAACACTAATTAGAAGATAGATTATCAAGTTATTTAAAGCTTTGTTGTTCATTCATTTTGTGTGTGTGTGTGTGTGTGTGTGTGTGTGTGTGTGTATGTGTTAAAAAGATGTACTATCTTCCTCTAGTATATCCTATATTTTGGAGGAAGTGGAATGGAAGGTTGTCAATGGTGTTTTATTAGATATTTGGGGAAAAATGTAAAAATAAATACTCATGTAACATAAAACTTCACAAATCATTTCAAAGAAAACTTTAGATATTTATTTATAAGATCACCACATTGGATAATCTTATCTAATAAAAGGATAATATGCAAATTAACCATCACTCCATCACAAAGATGGCGGCGCCCATAGCCACAAGATGGCGGCACCCAGTTTCCTCAGCCCTGCCGGAGTCCCCCAGTCTTGGGGGGATGGCCACTGAGAGCAGGCAGTGTGAGTGGCCTGGCGGGATGCTTACTTCATCGCCTCTGGGCCACGGAGAGCCTCTGGGCAGCGGGCGTGGAGCGGCCAGGCCCTGCAGAGAGCAGAGAACCATGGGGAGTGGGCCTACGCCGTCAGGGCTCCCCGATTGGAGAGGGCTCCCCTGAGGGCTCCCAGATTGGAGAGGGTGCAGGTTGGGCTGAGGAACCCACCCCCGTGCACGAATTTCGTGCACTGGGCCTCTAGTCTATAATAAAATAGTCTTATCAATAAGGTGATATACTATTTTTAAGTTTTAGTTTGAAAATAACTATCTTGTCCTTGAAAATATAAATGAAATCTATATTTATGAAATGTAAGCCACATATTAGCTTTATAACCCTTAGCAAGTTGTTTTCTCTCTTTAGGCTGCAGCTTCTTAATGTATAAGATGAGGCATTTGGATCAAGTACTTTAAAGGGTACTTCAAATTCTAAAATTTGGGTTACTTAAAATCTAATATTAACTCTGACTGGATCTGAAGTCCATATAGAGCCTTGAAAAAGTTCAACATAAATACTTCCTCATGATTAACTATAATGTTTATTTATGAAGCAGGGAAGAAAATATTTTCTGTTTATTTGTCTATACTTTGTGACATGATTTTAATAAATTAAAAAATTTTAAAAAGCACTGATAATATTGAAAATTATAATTAGAGGAAATTATTTGTATTTAATGGAACACACTATAGTTCTCAATTTAAATTAAATACAGGGTTGTTTAACTAATTCCACATATAACAGAAATGGAAATTTCTGTTAAGAAAGCATATTTCCATTATCAACAAAACACTTATTAAATATCTATTGCTTGCATGTCACTAACATTTTAGAGATTTAATGTAATATTTTAGATAGTATAGGGTGATGATAAAAGCTTTATTAGTAATATATTCTTATATGACAAAAATGCTAATAGTTAAAATAAATTTCACATATGATACATGTAACTTACATTTGTCAAGATATGATCTAATGCTATATATAATATAATAAATTTCCTCTTGTATTATAATTTCAAATTTATGCATTTTAATTTAAACAAGATTCTTTGTAGTATATTAAGTTAATCTACCTATAATTTATCACAATTTGTTGTCCTCTGAAATGATAAATTCTATTTTCAAGTGTAGGAAATTCTTGTCATTAAAAGGAGTTGCCATTTCTTTGCTTTGCTTTTCCTGACTATATAGCAAGTTTAAAGCTCTGCTTATTTTCAACACAAACCTATGAATTTCTAGATAATTTGTTGAAAATTTGAGCTCTTTTGCAAATATTAAGGTGCCACAGACATAATCTTATTTTTATTTTCTTTCAACCAATTTATTCTTGTGTGTATCCCAATTTCTGTGTGGAACATGGGAAGTAATAGGAGTCTGCAGGTTGTTGGAATTGAAAGAACTCCAGCATACCACTTAATAGTGAATTCCAAACATGCCCTGGGCTTATTCATTAACCGTGCATGAGAGAGGAAGTTATAATAGAACCGAGGGGTCACTGCACAGTGAGAAACTCCACATACTATCAACTTGTCTCTTTATATAGAGGTCCAGCTACCATCTCACTGGGACAAGAATCTACAATGGAGGCAGCTACGAAAGACAGCACACTAGAGTAGATGCTTAGTTCTGCTTGCAAACAAATTGAGTAATAACAATTTATAATCTCAGATTGCTACTTTCATCAGAACACTTCAATAGAAGAGAGTGTACTCAAATTCAGTTCTAGCCACTATTGCGTTCTCTCCTGCCACCACAGAGTAAATTGAATGGTTCCAAACTCAGCTGATATCACCCACCCATGTAATGGAAAATTCTTTAGCCAGAATGTTGGGCCAAATTGAAGCAGCTCACTTTCACTAATCTGCCTTGTACTGGGGACAGTTCCACATGACAGATGTTGAATGAGATTGTTAAGTCAATAAATTTCCCCTAGCAGCTTCACCGCCATAAAATATGATTTCAAAACTCTCTGTTGCAAAACATCAGACACTAAAGATGATGAGACCAGACGGTAATGTATTTACTGTCACTTAAGAAGGTACAACTGGGCGACCTTTTGAACTGATAATGAACTGAAAATTTGCCTGGAGACAGCCTCTGAGTACTAAAAGGAAAGTTGGAGACCACATGCAGAATCAAGTAATTGAGACTTATTAATTAACAGGTTTTACATCAAAATGGCACAGGCCAGGAAGCTTCTTTCTGAATTAGATGGATTTTTTTTGACAAAAACTCTTCATAATGAAATTTATGCTTTTCTGAAATTACCTTTAAATCCATCATTGCATCATTTTGTGGCCTTATTGAGTTATTATAAAATATCTTCACTCTGTACATATGAATTTTAAACTATGAAGTGCTTTGAAGCATAGTTCTATTGATAATACAATCAATTTCACTTCATTAAAATGAAGATTGTAAAGAGCCAAATGGTTTTTATTTTGTCTGACTAGTGAGATTGCAAAATATATTGATTGCTTTCTGGTCTCTTAATGTACCTAATTAGATAAAGGTTGATTTCTTCACTGAAGATACTCAATTTAATATAAAAAGTAGTTGCTAACCTCAGTTCTATAAAATATTCTCTCATTCTTTATAAATTAGTCATTCAACCCAGGGTATTAGGTATGTCATTTCCTTCTTAAAGCACTAGGGTAATGTATAAAAAAGGTTTGGGGCAGAATTAAAGGGGAATATTGTTGTTTTCATGTGATTACCACCCCCCCCCCCCAATAAAAGGGAAATAATGCTTCCCTGCACGTATGCCTCTTAAACTTTATTTTCCTTCGAACTTGCTTCTCAATAGGGAAGATAGCATGTTGATGTGTGAAAATGACCATTTAGCAAATTTCCTCCATACCACTTCACAGAGAACATAAAAGAATAATTACAGTGGGGCCTTGACTTATGAGTTTAATTCGTTCAGAGATCGAGCTCGTTAAGGAGCTCGTTAACTCAAATTACTCTGTCAACTCAATGCAAAAAATCGGCCAAGAGACAGCTGGTATCTCAAAAAACTCGTTAGTCGGGACACTCGTAAGTCAAGGCCCCACTGTATAGGGAATTTTCTTGTTTTTCTTTTATTTTTATTTTTTTCCTGATTTTTCTTAGCCATAATACTTGCTTATCTCTTTCCAAACTTTCTGTGCTTGGCATTAAATATTGAGGATTATGTGGGCGATTTTCAGATTTCTAATGATTCATCAAGTTATATTTCTACTGTGACCTTCAATTTTACTTCTTTATGTCACCCACATGTTAATATTACAGGGCAAATAACTTTTTTATAAGGTGAGACTGATAATATTTGCTTTATTCTGAATAACCCTGGCTTTGCCACAAATTGCGACTTCTTCAACATTTGTTTTTCTCAGTCAAGATGACTCATTGTCTTTTGTCAGGAAATGATATTTTATTAAGAAATATTTTTCAGATTGAAATGTTTAATTTTTTAAGTCTAGAAATGATTAAGTGGTTTGCTGAATTGTTTTAAGGGGGAGAGAACTGAAATTCCTTGTAGTGTTACATTTCTTTTGGAAGGGTTAAGGTCAGAGATTTGGCTTCTCCAACTATTACCATGTTGTTTTTGTTTATCCAAGTAATGAAATCCTTGTGAGTTTTTCTTCTCTTTTGCCACCCTCGCTCCCTGCCTGCCTCCCTTCCTTCTTCCATATGTAATAGGTAATAAACAACTTACTGTAAACAATGTACAGTAGTATATGTAATCAATAATTTATCATCATTACAATAATACATATTTATATATATTAAAAAAACTGCTCTATAGAGACAGTATTTGCTTTTTCTTCTAGCATATAACCAGATAGGATCACCTCTTTTTTTTCTTTTTTCTTTTTCTTTTTTTTATTGATTACGTTATTACATATGTGTCCTTATCCCTACAATATTCCCCATTCCCCCCCACTCATGCCCTCACCCCCATGTTGTCTGTGTCCATTGGTTAGGCCTATATGCTTGCATCACCTCTTGAAACAGGATTTGATCTCTTCCTTTTTCAGGCTTTAGCTTTCTCTTGACCTTGTATATGTATCAAGGTTGAAAGATTAAAACAAAAGGATTGTAATTTGC